GTTCATGGGCTGGAAGCTTGGTTTCTGTTCTTACAGTACTGAGAGACAACAGATCTTTAAGGGGGAGGACCTAGTCGGAAGACAGGTCATAGAAGCAGTACCCTCATGAACAGACTGATGTCTTTTTTGATAATAGCTTAGGTCTACTGAGACTAGGGACTGATTTAGAGACCAAGTGAACAGGATCTTACGCAGTGGGTCAGCTTCCAGTCTTTCTCACTCGGGCTCTTTTGTTGACACGGCATGAGGCCCCAACCAGAAGCTGAGCAGATGACTCGAGCTGTGAGCTAAGACATAGTCTTTTATTATGGATCATCTAGTCCCAGGTTATAGCAACAGAAAACAAACTAAGTTGCCAAAATCTACTGCATCATGATTCTTAGGCCAACGGGTAGAAACCATGCAGTATTCCCCAGGATGCTCATCAACAGATGAAGGGATGAGCAAATGCAGCGTGTGTGAAATTGAGCATTACTGTCGAGTCATAAAAGAGAAGGGGATTTGAGCCACATAACAATGAGCATAAACCTTGAAAACGCCATTAAGCAAAATAATACATACATAAAAGGGTCAATAAGGTACACAGACTATCTAGAACAGACAAATATCAACAGGCAAGATAGACCTAAGGTTAATGGGGGCTGGTAAAAGCTATAGTAGGAGATAACAATGACAGCTTTTGTCTGGCATAATAAGCAAGTTCTGGAAATAGTGATGACATTTATATAACACTATGAATATAATAAGTATCACTATAGTATATACTTGGTAAATTATATACCATAGAATACATAGTTAAATATACCCAAACCATTGAACTATATACTTTAAATGGACAAACTGCATTGTATGCTAATTATATCTCAATAAAGATAACTTTATTTTAGTTGTCTTATCTCAGATATGCAAAAGAAGCCAGAAGGACAAGTACTAAAAGATTATAGACTGCAACACACTACCAGAGGCAGACCTTGGTGTGGAAGAGATCCTCCCTCACCCCGAGTAGAAAAGATTTTCACCCAAGCTGTGCACCCTCTGAGGAGCAGCCCCAGCACACAGCGGACCTCACACCCTATCTTCTGACTTTTCTCCATGAGGATAAGAAAAATTATCTGATCACTGAGAGATCACGAGACCACATCAGGCCACATTCTGAGTCACTGTGTTAAAGACAAGGTGAGCTCATGCTATGTCCTAAGGCCCAGCGTGGCCAAATGGCTTCCAGCGCTGTTGGATGGGGACATGTGAGCAGGTCTGCATCCAGACTGCTACTGGATTACGTAGTCCCATGTGTAAACTGTAGTTGGTGTGTGTCGTCTTCTACCCTGCCCAGCAGTCACATGTGCATACATATATATGTACATACACACATACATATGAACATGCACATGGGGTTCACCATGAGCTTCTGAGATTCATTATCTACCCAGTAAATCAGAATTCTATACATTAGAGGTAAGTGGGTATCTTCTAAGATAACCAATGTGGTAGATTTTCATCCCTAGCCTATGTTCTTTGTATGATGCTGCTATCAGTCAGAACCCCAATGTCAACAAAAAGTAAGTAGCACTCAAAACCTTAAAGAGCAAGATTCCTGCAAGAGGTTTAAACAATGAGTACTTAGGAGACAAATGACACAGGAGGGGGTTGAATTTAATAAAAAAATGTGAATTTAATGAAGATTCCTCTCATGATCAGCTTCTTCTTGCTATGACAAAATAGATGAGGTCATTTATTTGCGGAAGGAAATGTGCCTAGGATTCTCCCTCTCCAAGTATATATAAGTGATAAAGACTACTGAGAGACATTCTCAGACACACTAAACACCTAACACTCAGCCAGCAAAGCTAATGGGAAAAGACAGAAACCAACTGAGCGGCCTGGAAGAGACACTCCAACCGGTCAAGTTATCTGCAAATTGTGCGGATTTGGTGAGCTGACATCGATGCTAGGGAGGGGTTTTGTGACGCAGCTGTCTTTGAGTGATTTAAGCTCCTGTAAGGAACCCATCACTGACATTCCTGTACGCAACTAGCAGCAAGCTCACTGGCAACAGTTGGATTTTGGTGGTCTTTAGTTGGTTCTCTACCTGGGAAAATAATCATTTGCTCTCATCTCCCAAGAACGGTGCCACCACTATATGAAGAAATCTGATCAAAGAACATAGTTAATGATATGCCAATATCAGTTCCTTAATTATAACAAACACACCACATACTAATATATTAGCTACAGGAAGTCTGACATCTGGCATCTGAGAACTCTTTGTGCATATTCACAATATTCCTGTTAACCTAAAACTATTTTCAAATGCTTATTTGAAATTATAACTGAATTAATAGAACATACTTATAAATAATTTATGGAATATCATAATATAATATGATATAATATAACACGATATAATAATATCAGCTTTCTCAGCTCTACTAGGCTAGACAAAATCAGTTTGCTAGACAGCTACCAGTATCCATCACTTCGGTCAGGCTGCCTACACTTCCTTTTCATTCTGGTCACCAGGAAGCTGACAAACACAACCTTACAAAAAACAAAAACAAAAACAAAAACAAAAACAAAAACAAAAAAAAGCTTCTACAAAACTTTTGGCATTGACACAGTCACTATAATAATATTTTACTTTATTTTGATTTTTTTAATATTTTAATGATTTTTGTGGTTTTTCTTTGCTTTGTTTTTCGTTTTCTTTTGTGCTGTGCATTGATCCAGTGACTGGTGGCTATGTGTGTGTGTGTATACATACATACATACATATATATATATATATATATATATATATATATATATCCATGTTTTTATTTCATTTAGTAAAAATCTCAAATCTCTTTAGAAGACATATACATAGAAATATGCGAATGTATATGAATATATTTTTGTCTGATTATGAACAATTTTATTATTCACATTTCTGACTAACCATTTCTCACGATCTGAACAGTTACCCACTCAGTGGCTAGAATATGGCAAATTACTAACATATTCAATTTCAATTCTTAAATTGCAAAATAGTACTAACACCACCTGCTCGAACAGATGGCTGCTGAGTACCAATGGAGTTCCATTTGTCAATGCTTACCATGGGTAAAAGAAAGGCCCTTGATGAAGGATAACCATTTGTTATTATTATTATTATTATTATTACATATTATTATTATAATTAAAGTATCAGTAACTCTTTTCGTTAACACAGTAAAAAGGGAAGACGTGAATTAGAAAGCAATCACAGGCCCAGTATTGATTTTCTCTGCATTTTGGATGAAAACAACAAAATTCCAATTTTTTTTTCAGAGGAGAGAAGGAGGAAGAAGGAAGCAGGACCTTCTTACACTGTTATTGCCAAAAACAAGCGTGTAACCTTTACACCAGGTGAAACTCAATCCCTTGTTAGCCTGCAATAACAGAAAAGAAAAACACCCTCTAGCTTTTTTGGCACCCGCTTCATCAAAGTCACCCAAAACAAGCACATGAACGAGCCAAATGAACACCAAATCTGAGCCCCTCCTTGACCGGCTGGGTGCCAAGTTCCTGTTCTGTTGCCCAGGGTTCTTTTGGCATTGACACATTCCATTCCAGACTTCATCTCCCTTGTTCTGGGGATGGGACAGACAGGAAGGACTTTTGTTTGTGAATGCTTTGGTATTTAATAGTACATGCTGCATACCTATCCACAGCATCTAACCCCTACTAACTACAAGAGGATTGACAGATGAGTCGTACACACTAGGCCTGGAGAGACAACTTATTTACTGTAGATGGAGCATGGGAAGATCATTGGGACTTCTGTGCACTCTATCAGAAACTTAACGTAAAGACTGGGCCAGAAAGAAGAAACTAGACAACCAATTATTTTGAGACTAACAAGCCAACTTATACAGCTTTATCTGTCCTCACCAACTGCTTCTTGTCTTCAGAGGTTGCAGTCCAGTCCCTGACTCCTTCTCAAGTCAAAAGTCCCATCATTTTCCACATCCCTTTGACGGTGTGGGATATTTGGACACCGTGTAAAGATGCATTGTTGTGATTGGCTTAATAAAAAGCTGAATGGTCGGCAGATAGGCAGGAAAAGTTAGGCGTGGCTTCTGTACAGAGAGAAGAGCTCAGAGAGCTGAATCTAGGTGTGAGAGACTCCAGCAAGACTTGGAGCAAGGAAGATTTCCAGAATGGAGGAGAGGTGAGAAGCCACGTGGCAGAATGTAGATTAATAGAAACAGGTTAATTTAAGTTATAAGAGCTAGTTGGAAATAAGCCTAAGCTAAAGGTCAGGCTTTCATAATTAATATTAGATCTCTTTTGGGGGACTGGAGGTCCCCAAATAAAGTCCAACAAAAGGTCCACTTACACATTGACGATGAGATCAAAATGATCATCACTTTGTCAAACTGAGGTTTCACACCTGGCTCTGTCTTCTTACCCACACACAGCAGTCACAACCTCGTACTCAATGGGCATTTTGTAAAAGGACTCTCAGGTGGCACGTGGTTTACTTTTAACACTTGTAAGTTACTCAAATGCAACTGCTGACATAACATAGGTGCTGCGGTAGTTCGGATCATTCTAGTACATTTTCATAGAAAGTGATGCGCGTCCATAGCTCATGCACTAAGTCAGCATCCACCCCCTTGTGGGTATTTCCTACCCTAATTTCTGAAGTACATATTTTTCCCTCTTTAATGTACCACTTAGAAGGCAACTACAGAAGGAGCTGTAGTGACCTCTGAGCTTTTAACATCTCCTTCTCGTGGGGCCACACTTAATGAATGGCATCCACCTCGGATACTCATATTGCCAGCAAGATGGGGAACAATGGGACTTGAGCATACGCAGTGGAGGCAGAAGATAGGTTCAAGATGTTTCAAGTATGCACAATCGCGTGCAGATGTAAAAACAGTACGGCCAGTCAAAGGGAGTTAAGAAAGCAATATATAGAGAGACACCCGGGGACTGGAAGAACACAAATAAAATCCAACTTGTAATTAACATACCGTGCTGTGACACCTGTTGCCTTCCATGATAAGAAGTCTGGGAGATCAAAGAAATGTCCCGCCTTGTCCCAGCACGCCTCTCTCAAGTTCTGCCAAATTAAATATATATTAGAATCAATTATGAGGTTTTTTTTTTTCAACTCCTCTCCTCTTTCAAAAATGTTTCACATTTTTCAAAACAAAAACAGAGCCAGCAATGTTCATGAAAACATCTGTTCACGGGCTTGGGGGAGTGTGGTATAAAAGTGGTATTTATGCAGGAAAGAAAACATGGCAATTATTCACTCTTCCAAAGATGATCCTAATTTTACTTTCGTCCCCTTCTGCAACCTGGACAGGGAGAAGGCGCACTGCGGATATACAACCCAGCCTCCTGGCGAAGGCGAGAGGACGTGCGCCGCACAGTAAGAAGGCAAACGGCTCTGCCCCAGGGAGAAGCTGCGCTGAGGACTCAAGGAATCCAAGTGTGCCTTGCCACGGAAATTCCCCACAGACCAACTGGTACCAACGACGACTCAAAGAAGATGCAGCCTAAGCCACTGTGCAGGCGAACCAAGCAACTGCCGCAACAGTTTTAGGCATGTTTTTATTCCATCTTGCCAAATAGCCAGATTCTGTTTTCTGCTGGGCTTTTTTTTTCCCTCTACCAAATCTTTCCAGACTGTCTGCCACTCAGTTTGCTATGGGTTCTTGCTTTTAACTATTCTTTGTGGGAAGACACGGAGAAAAGGAATTTATCAGAAGCTCAGGGTCCTTGGGGACTCTAAAGGGAACGATGCCTGCTTCAAACAAACATACTGTGTTGTGCCTGCGTGGTACAGTCAAAATGCACAGAACTACTAGACTGCTACAAGTTTGCCCTTCAGTCACTCTCTGTGATGGTGCCGCTTAGATCAGGACGGGCTTTCCACCTGTGTGACTTACCTTCTCCGAGCAGTACCAAAGTGCCAGAAATTATTACATCAATTTTCAGACATCTCTCTTGCTTTTACATATTTTTCTCCTCAAAGTCTTGGTTTTTCCTGCTTGTGGGAAATTCACGCCAAACCACTGCCTCAATTACAGGGTTCTATTTCGCTAAGAGCATCAAAGGGTCAGATGTGAAAGTCTCAGCATCACAGCCATTCTGTTACCATGTGAAAGTCTCTCTTAGGAAAAAGTGGGTCCAAATTTCTCATTACCTACCCATACATCTTAACATCAAATAAAGAAAAATTTATCATTGAAAAAGTATGCCGAACACAGCTATGAACTTGCATAACCCTGTGCACTTAACAAGTCACAACCAGAAAGCAGTGGCCTTTGAAATTATGTGAGTCAAACTATCAGCATGCCTTTTGGATATTTTCATGCACTTTGTGGTTGCAACAGTTGGTGGTCAGAGAAAAGGCAGCCTCCTTCCTTAGTTCCAACAATGCAAGGCCTGTCACCATGCATCAACTTACCAAACAACTACGGACCAACCACTTCTTCTAGTCAAAGCCAAACAATCACCCTGAGCTGAGCAAACAACCGTTTCTGTTAGGTTTTATGTACGGTTACGAACAACCCTACATGATGCCAGTCTTCTGCCCTGAGTCACACCAATAGCTGCTGTGGACAAAGATATCCAAGTAGAACATCTGTGAGAGAGCTTCAAAGCTTTTGGTAATGTCCTGGGGGTAGGAGTGAGGAACCCAGGAGTGTATCCTTCTGAGGTAGACCAGCTTTGTGGATCAAACCCAGAGACCCGAGTCATCCTCTGAATACAATAAAGAATCAAAACCAACACGCTGGAAAGCATCAGACATCTATACAAGTAACATCATAGAGACTGAGCAGGTTGTATTTATATATTTAGGAATATATATACATATATAATAGATATATGTAAAAATATTTAATGAAAAAAATAAGCAGTGAATTTGAAAGAAAGCAAAGGTATATGGGAGGGTTTCAAGAAAAGAAAATAGAAGGGAGAAATTGTGCAATTATAATCTCAAAATATAAAAGAAAACTTAAAAAGAATACACACGGGCGTGGAAGAGAAATGAACAGATAGTCCCTGATTTCTGTACAAATGCAAAATCTGTGGACTGATCAACATAGGAAGGGGGAAGGGTCTGTATGACAGCGGTGTGTCTGGAAGCCTGAGAGTTATTTGAGAGACTGGCTGGCTCGGAGGTTTCCATAAAATTCTCCCATCGAGCTATAGGATTTACAAGGGCTTTACCATCAATGGCCATACTGGCCCATGTAGATTTTCATCTAGTTTTACATGAAAATTTCTTTGTCCTTCATCCTCCCACTCGTTGAAGTCCCAGCCAAGGACTTAATGAATTATCTACTTGTGTTTAGTGAACATACATTAGGGCACAGTGACCATCCTGTCCTCATACTCTGTCTCCCTTGGGTCTTTAGGCGATTCAAAAAGGAGAAGGCAATATATAATACTCACATCTAAAGATGTCGGGACTAAGGGTTCGACTCCAAGAGCTTGTCCCTAAGTCACCCAAGGCGTCTGCTCTAAGGTGAGTGCTCATTTCTTGCACTATGTAGCAGCAGCCATCTTGGCTCCTAGCACAGTGTGGGATTGAGGCCTTTAGAAACATCTTGATGAAGCTTCTGCCATTCTTTACAAGAGGGGAAAACGACAAATCTAAACTATTCTGAAAGAATCTCAGCGATTTTAATTTCAATCCCAGATGACTTGTTTAACTTCTGTGGACCAATCCAAACCTCCACGCGTGAGCAGTCCAAAGGTTAGAAAGTGCAAGCTCTTCCACACAGGCCAACTTCAACTGTGTCTCATTTTGAAATATCTTAATGCTCTTGTGAGTAGGAGTCTGTGGTGCTCTCATCCACATACCAAGCAACTAACAAAAACGAGTCTTTTCGAGAACCAGAGCCTCAGCGGTTCTCTGGGGTGTGTGAGCTGGCACTCAGGGCCCCGCATTCCAGTAACAGCCTCTTGAGCTAAGCAATCCATCGGCTTGAAAGCAATCAAGGAGAAGAGCTTGCCGGTTCTTATTTATCACTTCATAAAACCACAGCACTGCTTGGGCAGAGGCTACTCCTCAGAGCTCACATAGCCAGAGCTTTTGGGTCTCGGCAGAGGCCGGGAGCAAAAAAGTTATGCCCAAGAGTCAATGCCAGGAATCAGGAGATCCTTGAGCAGAGGAGAGTCATCCTGATGCCACTGTGGTGTCTCTAGAAGTTGTTGGGTTTCTGCTCCCTTCTAGGCGCTGAGGAAGATTATGGGGAACAATAATAGGAAGGGCACCAGGATGCAGGGGCTACATGAAGAAATTGGGTTTAGTTTATTATTAATTTCAAAGAGATTCTATCTGGGTTATCTATGGTGTATAGTAAATGAAAGAGAGGGACCAGAACGCCCTAACTTCACATACAATAAGTGATCCTGCTTGTACACTCCAAGTTACACACTGTTCATCCATTTCTAGAACTATCCATGACAAAACAAAATTGAATCCTGACGCTATATTCAAGTTTTGAAATTCGAGCATGACCTGGCAACCCAGAGAGGTGAGGTATTTCAGGAAGCCCAATTCTCAATGTCATTCTCAAAAGAAACAATGCCAAAAACATGAGGCAGTCAGAAGTTCACCCAGGATCTTCCTGGGATGAAAGAGACTATTGTATGCTGCAGACTCCCATGCGCAGACAGGGAGCAAACACCGACAATACTTCAAGGCAGACAGGCAAAGAAATTGGGATTTGTGGCACCAGAAGCATCTTTCTAAAAGCTAAGATCCAACAATCCCTTCTTTTGTTGAAAACATCTGACGACTTCTCCTGGCCTGCAGTCACTCTCAGTCCTGGGCCTGGCTCCTGGGCTTCTATCTGGTGCCAGCTTACCCATCATGATTCCTAGGATTTCCCTCTAGAATCATCGTCCAGACTTCTCAGGTAACCTTCAGTCCACCCTTGCAGACTTTCTATCCTTTTACCCCCCAATTCCTCAACACGTTCTACTCTTCTGGTTCCATGCCTCTGCTTGGGCTGTTGCTTCCACGTGGATTGACAACCCCACTTGCTCTTCTCAGTCTTCTATCCTAGATGTGAACCCAGCTCAGAAGGACCTCTGCCAAGAGTCTCTCTTCCCTCACTGTAACCGCTTATACTGATTATACACTTACATGCCCAAATCCATCCTAAAAATGACAAACTTCTTCTCAAGGGCAAAGGACAAGTCTAACTCATGGGGAGGGGGCGGAGACAAGAAAAAAAGCTTCCGGAGATGTAACGAACTTAAAGCTAGACACTGGAGCTGGAGAAAAAGATGAGCAAAGGAAGGGTAATTAAAAATATGATGTACGACAATAATGTAATGAGTCTGATACCAAAGCCTGGTGAGTCAGCCTCATAACTTTATCACAGCATTTTGTGTGGTCATATATCTGTCTCTAACGACTAATTATAGACAGGGTTCAAAAGAGAGAGGAGGCTTTGGGCCTGGGCTGGCTAGCACATCCTCCACAGGAAGGAGACTTTATTTGGAGCCTAACTATGAAATAGACTGTACCTATGCTACTGCTGAAGAAAATATCCAAGCAACAAAGACCTGAGCTTATTCATCCAGAAAAGGATTTGTCCTGTCATACATTTGGAAAATGAAAGAATTCCACTGTATAATAGATTTTCACATGCTCTATGTATAGGCATCCTCTTCTTCCTCGTCTACCCCAGAGCCCCAGAGGTGTTGTACAGAAAGGTAAACTAGTACTCCATGCTACAGTTGACTTCCTAACCTAAGAGCATTACCATCGGCATGGCAACTGACAGATTCATTAGTGCTTATTCGGCCCACAAATGTGACACCACCACGGATATTTGAAAGTAAGATTGCAAATCAGAATGTAAGCAACATGGCATCTAGCAACCCTGAGTTTGTCTGCTGTCCTTACAACTCCCAGCTGAGTTCCTTAGAAAAAAATAATCTCTCTAAAACCATTTCTTTGAATCTCATACTACTATCACCTACCTTAGGGATAGTATGCATATTGTATAAGTCAACAAGAGTCTCTCAATGCTGTTATCCACCCTTATAGTCTTCAAAGCATTTTATATGAGTGATTTTATACAATAT